GAGGAAGATGGGCATGGATGTTAGCCCAGGGCCTGTCTTCCTCAGCAAATAGAGGAGGATTGGCAGATGTTAGCTCAGGGCCGATCTTCCTCAAAAAAAAAAAAATGTTTATTAGTACAATGTAAAATGGCATGTAACTAAAGGTGAGACTTACAAATTATATTATCTGCTGGACTAGAAGTCATATCCCCATTCTTCTCCATAAATGCATAAACTATAACACTATATCCAAACTTGACAGTGGTTTACTTCTGAGGAGAGGGGAATGGAATAGGACTGGGAAGCACACACAGGGAGCTTCTAAATGTTCCATTTCTTATGCTTCTTCAGAGGCTCCTATGTGTCCCTTCCCATTCTCCCTTTTATCTTTTATATACCCTATATATTTTATATACTGGCAAACACAATAGTACTCTTTGAATAGATGAAGAAAAGGGAGAAAGATAAATGTGGTGGTAAAGGCAGTATAAACAAAGTCTCTGAATCAGAAATAAATAAGGCATGAACAGTCAAAAATATTTTGGGCAGAAGATGGAAAGGAATAGAGTCAAATAGGTTTAAATTAAGGAGAGCTTCAAATGCCAGATTAAAGTAGGAATTTTGAAGAACAGGAGGTTCTTAAACAGTTTATAGTAGCCAATTAAGTAACAAAAATTTAAGTTCTTTCAATTCTATCTTTACAGAATCTCATACATGTTCTCACCTCTCCAGGCTTACCTGACCCTGGAATACTATATTAACCTCGTAACTAATCTTTCTGTTTTCATTCCTCTTGATTTTATATACAATGGCAGGTCTCACCTGACTTTTTACTAAACTTTTTGTTGTACACCCTTCCCTGTTCCTTCCTGCATACCTTTGTTCATGTTGCTCCCTTGGGCTAAAGTGCTTCTCCTTCTGTATACCCCATTCATTCACTTAATAAATATTTTTGGGCATCTACTATGTGTGGAGCTTGGTTCTGGGCCTTGGGATACAGGAATGAAAAAGACAATATCCCTGACATTATTGAGCTTCTGTTCCACTGGCAGGGAGAGAGAAATAAGTAAACTACTAATGACAGATAACGTTTTTTGTCATTAAGCAAAAATAGGGTAATGCGATACTGAGAGTTGGGGGGGTGCTACTTTTAATTTTAAATAGGATGGTCAGGGAAGTCCTCTCTAAGGAAATGACATGAACTGAGACTTGAATGATATAAAACCCCCTAGGCCATTAGAGAGGCCTTTGGAATGTGCAGACATCAGCTAACTCCCTCCTTGAAGTCTCTGATAAATCAGTGTGTATATAGTTTGTGATACTTAGTATTTCTACTTCACCATTACTTCTGTACATGCCTGACTAATCTTGAGAAAAGGATCCTACCTTATATTCCCAAAGAATATAGAACAACATCTTGCATTAAAAAGCACTCACATGATTATTTGCTAACTGTACCTTTAACAGCTTCAATAAATAACTGAAAATCACTGACTAAGGTTAACAGTGATTATCTCTGGGAAATAGGGCTAAGAGGAAAGAGGTACTTTACTTTAGCTTCTGTATTGTTTGAATTTTTTATAAACATGAATTCCTTTAATTACTAAAAACAAAAACTAAACCAGCAACAACTAATATGTATGAGAAACATGGTCTCAATAGTTTTAAAATCATAGCATATAAAGTAACCTCTCACTCCTTAAGAGAACGATAAGCTCTAAGGTTAACATGGTTATTGCAAGGTATGAAACCATATGCTTTGATTAACCAATAGATTTGCCAACTAATTCACCTGACTAAATATATTTCTGAAGACTAGTTTTTTTTTTAACTGCTTTGAATTGAGCTGTTATACTTTTGTTCAGTATTTTCCAAGGATGAAACAATTGGTCCAAATACTCTTAATTTATAGATTAAATTTAAAAATTTTACACCTAAAATAGGCTGAATATTAAACACTATAAGCAGAAACTTACAAGGAGAATAATATTACCTAGCGGACCAAAATGTGAGGGGTCTGCTGATCAGCAACACATTCTACAAGGGAAGCTAATCAGAAGGTCAGTTATTGAATATCCTGTCTACTGGTCAAGGCTAGAGATGACAGAATTAAAAAAAAAAAAAAGTAGATGTAAGTCATCTACTAGCCAAGTAGATAGTACTAAAATTTAATTCATCATGTGTATTAAGTTTTGAAGCACTTTAAACAGAAGGAATGATCAAGTTAGAAGTGTATAGCTGGTAGGCAACTGGTAATACTACGATACGACTACTAACCTGAATCGTTTGAGATGTAGTCTGAGAACCTGAGGTAGGTGGCAAATCATAAGCTGCTTTTGGGCTTCTGTGAGTACAACTGCTTTTGAGGAAAACCTTCTACGCTTTGCTGTGATATCAAAGAATGAGAATCAAATTTAAGGATAGAAGGAAAAGCTGATTAAACTAATTCAGACATATGTTATCAATTAAACATCTACTGTGTTAGAGGCATTGTGCTGTGCTAGAGATAACAACATGGCCTTGCCCTCAAGAAACTTAAAATTACACAATAAAAAAAAAAACTTATGAGCTAGTTAAGGTAGACAGACGTAAACGAATAGGTACGTGATTTAATATAATCCTGCAAATAAAGCAACAGAATGATATAGTGCTATAATATTTAAAAGTGGATTTGGCTATGCCAATTAATAGGAAAAGTTAAAACTCTCCCTAAACATACTTTAATATACTCTTCACAAACTCTTTTTTTTAATTTTATTTATTTATTTATTTTCCCCCAAAGCCCCAGTAGATAGTTGCACGTCACAGTTGCACATCCTTCTAGTTGCTGTATGTGGGACGCGGCCTCAGCATGGCGGGAGAAGTGGTCCTCAGTGCGCGCCCGGGATCTGAACCCGGGCCGCCAGCAGTGGAGCGCACACACTTAACTGCTAAGCCACGGGGCCGGCCCCCAGCCCTAGAAGCTCTTAAAGAGCCCAGCTTGCCCTTGGCCAGAGGAAGAGCCTGTGCTCGGAGCTGGGAAAGGGCACTAGGTTCTGCTTTCTGAGCGACCTTGGCGTGTGAGCTTTGGCTGGGACTCAGCTTCCTCATCAGTCAGATGGCATAAAAACCGTTCCCATCGCCGAGGAATGGGGCGGGGCTTGGCACAGGGTTCGGTTCATGGGGTCATAAGGGTTGGCTGTTGATTTAACAACCACAGGGGCTATTATGGATGAGACACACTGAGCCAGCATCGGTATGGATGTTGGTTTGCAGGGATCGGCTTTGGGGACCGGACGAGCACCTTCTGCGGCACCCCAGAGTTCCTGGCCCCTGAGGTGCTGACCCAGGAGGCCTACACGTGGGCCGTGGACTGGTGGGGGCTGGGTGTGCTGCTCTACGAGATGCTGGTGGGCGAGGTGAGTGCTGGACCAGGGCTGCGGGGCCTCTAGGTCGGGGTGGGTGGGGGTGGCCCACGCACCCTGCTGAGCCCCCATCCCTGCAGTGCCCATTCCCTGGGGACACTGAGGAGGAGGTGTTTGACTGCATTGTCAACGTGGACGCCCCATATCCCCGTTTCCTGTCCGTGCAAGGGCTCGAGCTCATTCAGAAGGTAATCAGTGCAGGGTCCAGGGCTGGGCCGGCCAGCTGCTCCTGGCTTACGGGCCGCCCGCCACCACCCATCCTCGGGGCCCTATGGCCCAGCTCGCTTGGGATATGTGGGGTGGCGGGCCGTGCCTGGGGCCGAGAGCCCTAAGTGAGCACCTGGTGTCTTGCCCAGCTCCTCCAGAAGTGCCCGGAGAAGCGCCTGGGGGCGGGTGAGCAGGATGCTGAGGAGATCAAGACACAACCTTTCTTCAGGGTGAGTGGCCAGGGCTGCAGTGGTCCCAGGCGCCTGGCACAGTGGGAAGCATGGAGTGACCACGGGGGCTGCCAGTCCCATCGTCTCAGGCACCTCTCCCCTGCCCCCAGACCACCGACTGGCAGGCCCTGCTCGCCCGCACCGTCCGGCCCCCCTTCGTGCCCACCCTCTGTGGCCCTACAGACCTGCGCTACTTTGAGGGCGAGTTCACGGGCTTGCCGCCTGCCCTGACCCCGCCAGACCCTTGCAGCCCCCTCACCGCCCGCCAGCAGGCTGCCTTCCGGGACTTCGACTTCGTGTCAGAGCGATTCCTGGAGCCCTGAGGGCCTCCGGGCATGTCTGCCCCTGTCCCCCAGACTGAGAGACTCTGCTCACCCACCCGTCTGCCCACCAATGCGCCCTGCCCTGGAAGCCCAGGCCTTGCCTGGTATTTATGAGCCCTGGGGACTTCAGGTGGCGGCCACATGCCTGCCGTCACGGGCTTGGCTCAGTCATTGGGCAGAGTGCTCCCCCACAACTGCCCACCCCTCCTCTGCCTCCCAGCGAGACCCGGACCACAAAGGGTGGCACAGCGAGGAGCAGTTTGGTTTGTTTTTTAATACTTGACTTGCTTTATGGATTATTAAAGTTATAAAACTGCACTGGAGGCAGCCTGCCTCGGGAGGTGGGTGGGGGTCTCAGAAGCCTGGGTCGTTTGTATCTGAGCCCCCCGCAGGTCCTCTTCCTCCCGTTCTTCCTTCAGAGGGCAGGACTGCCCACTGAGGCTGGGGTTCTGTGGTTCAGCTCTGAGGCCTGGGAGGACTGGGCAGGAGTGAGGAGCCCCAGGCCCTCTGAGGGCCGGCCCCGGCTGGGTGCGCCCCTCCGGTTTTCAGGCACAAGATGGTGTCCCTGCCTCCAGCAACCCTAAACAGCTTGGCTGCTACCCTCCTCCTCCTCCTCGGCCCAGAGGGTCTCCCAGGACCCCGAGGGCCAGCCGCAGAAGAAGTGGGCCAGGTTGCGGATCAGGCCGCGGTCGAAGGGGTTCCCGGGACGCTGACGGAGGTAGGCGATGCGGTGAGAGGAGATGAACTCCCAGGTGGTGGTGTTGCTGCCCACCAGGTAGAGGTGTGAGGCCAGGAGCAGGCCGGCCACCAACGAGAAGAGGGACAGCAGCAGGAAGGTGGCGAACAGGAGCCCACTTGACCGCAGCCACAGTCCCCAGGGCTGGAAAAACCGGAGGCCAGACCTGCAGGGCAGGAGAGGGATGGGGACGCAGAGCTGGGGGAGGGCAGGGTGCCCCAGGGAGCCCGGGCGAGCAGGTCATTTGGGAGGGGGTCCGAGGCCCCTGAAGACGGAGCTCTGGCCCTGTCCGCACCCTATGGGCGCCTGCTGGCCGCCCTCCCCTCACACCCAGGGCGGGGGAACCCACCACGCCAGGTATAGGCCCCACAGAAGCACCACCAGCTGCAGCGCCAGGTAGGCTACGAAGAGCGGGTGGTTGCGCTCCCCCACGCAGTTCTCCATCCAGGGGCAGTGGTGGTCGTAGCGGCGGACGCAGCGACGACACTCACGGCAGTGCCGGGCCCGCAGGGGCTGCTGTGGGAGAGAGGTCAGGGCCTGAATCTGGGAGGCCTTCCTGGAGGAGGGGTGAGGCCAAGGCCCTGGGGCAGGAGGGAGTTGGGGAGGACCCCTCCCACGGAGGTCCCTGCATACCCACCAGCACGAGGCAGTATCTGCAGCGCCGAAGGGGGATGGTCTGAGGGACCATGGCTGTCTGTTCCTCTTTGGCCTCCTCCTGAAAAGTGGGGGACAGGGTATAAGAGGGGATCCCCTTGGGACGCAGATGGCACTGGTGGGCGTCTCCCTTGGGGGTTAGCTTAGCTCTGGGTGTGCACATTTTGGGGCCCATCTCATGCATAATGGAGGTGGTGGGGTGGGGCGGAGTGCCCTGGACTGAGCGAGGCTGTGTGACCTTTGCCAGTAGCTTCCCCTCTCTGGGCCTTGGCAATTTCCTCACTGTAGGATGAGGTTCTAGGGCTGGCAAGAGGATTCACTGAGATGCTCCAGGAAAGCCCTCCGCACACAGCCTGGCGTGATACTGTTTTTGGGCCCTTGGGTCCCCTGTTGGTGGGAGTTCAGGCCCCTAGAGGCCCCCTGGTTACCTGGGGCTGGGGCTGAACATTCACGTAGCCGGGGTCCATGAGTGACACAGCCAGGTAGAGCAGCAGGGAGCCCAGCACCAGGAGCAGGAAGATGAGGGGCAGGAGCAACTCCCCCTGCTCCTCCCACTGCCGCAGAGCTGAAGAGGCCGGGGGAGGAGAGTGAGGCTGGGGCCGGGCCGAATAGGAGGGCGTGTCGGGGTGCAGCTGGAGGTGGGGAGTGTGTCCCTGGCTGAGCAAAGGCCTGGAGCGGGGGTTCAGTGAGTGGTCAGGTGTGGCCACTGCATAGGATGCAGGAGGGAGAAGTTCAGGTGCAGCACAAAAAAGCAGTTCATCTGCACTCTCTGGAGGGCAATAGGGGACTATGGAAGGTTGTAGGGTGAGATCTGTTTCTGGAAGTCCTGCTGCTAGAGTAAGGGAGTGAAGGGGCCAGACTTGACTGGATGTAGGGCAGAGGGAGGAGGGGTCCCCACCTCTGTCTCCTCGATGGGGCGAGACTGGCCAGGTCTGGGATGCCCAAGAGACAGACACAGAGGAGGACGGGGCCAGCAGGCTCAGACGCTGCAGAGGGACACGAGGGGGGCCCAGGCCAGAAATGGTCCAGCCCACGGAGGTGACTGAGGATTTGGGGCGGGTGGGGGGCTGAGGAGTAGGGGTGTGAGACAGCCAGGCAGCAGAGTGTGGAAAACCGCTGTCGCTTGGTTGTGAAAGAGTGGAGAAAGAAGGGGGGTGGGGGGTCCTTTCTGATGGGAGACTGAGCAGGTTTTTAGGCTAAGGGCTAAGGCGGTGGAGGGGACTTGAGAAGGTCTTGGGAGGAAAGTGAGAACCCCCAGTCCAGGGGCTGAGGCTGGAGTGAGAGGGTAATGGGGGCTGCCATGGGAACTTGTGCTGGAGGCGGCCTGTGGCAGGTAAAGAGGATGGAAGTTGGGGTAGGTCGGTGGGGTGAATGGGTGCTACCAGGGCAAGCAGGAAGGATGGGGACGTGGGGGACAGGCCGCTCGCCTACGCCTACGGTGTGTTCTCTTGCCTGAGGGTGGGGAGCCTGGACTTGGGCAGCTAGTGGCCGCTGGAGTGGGCGGGATGCCAGTCCTTGATCTAGTTGATCCTCGGAATCTTACGGAAGGAAGGTTGGGAGTCAATTCCTGGGAAGGATCGGGTGGGTCCCGGGCTCAGGGGAGATGGGGCTCGAGTTGGTCCTCGGATCTGGTGGGCACCGGATGGGTCCTGGGATGGACAGGGCATCTGGCAGGGATCTGGAAGATGCTGGGATTAATCAGGGATCAGCTGGGTACTAGGCGGAAAGCAGGTGGCTCTTGGAATAATTGATGGGGCGGGCGCCTCAGGAGCTGGCGGAGATGGGGTGAATCCCAGGATCTCTGGGGCTTCGGCAGGGGACCCAGTGAGACCCAAAGGTCTGGGGAACCACGCGGGATCGGGTGGGTCCGGGGTCGCGCGAGGTCCGGCTCACCGGTGTCATGCAGGAAGAGCACCAGCGTGATTCCCCAGGTCAGCACGGTGTGCCCGGTCCGCACCAGGACCCCGGGGCTGAGGAGCGCCCAGGGCGCCATCGCCTCTGCCCCGGGCCCTACCCGGAAGAAGCGCCCAGAGGGCCGGTCCCTCCGAGGGAGAGGGGCCGCGGCCAGCCGGGGATTGGCGGATCCAGGAGGTGGGCGGGGCCGGATTGGGCCAGGGAGGCTACCTATTGGATGGCAGCTGCGGCCGCGTAGGCCCTCGAGCCAACAGGTGCCTGAAGAGGCCGAGGGCGGGGCCGGCGCGCGCGCAGCCGGTACCGCCCCCCAACCCCAGCCCTACCAGCCAGGTAACTTTCGAGAGCCGGGGAGCAGGCGCGAGCCTCGGCCCCGCCCCCTGGGCTCTCAACCCCGCCCCAACCCCACAGCCTCGCGCATGCGTGCAATTCCTTGGCCCGTTCGAAGAGCCAGGTGTCTGTTGTGACTCTCGGTTGTGGAATTTGCCCGTTTCAGAGATGTGATGACTGAGGCTTCGAGGGGGTCAGGACTCACCCAAGGTTGCTCCGTGGTGGCACTCTTACCGCCTTGCTCTTCAATTCAGATATGGCAAACGGGACGAGAGCAATGTGGTCTGTGGTGCAGATTCCGTGGAGGGCCCAACTTGGGGCAGAGTCAGAAACACCAGCACTGCGCTTTCCTACCTGTGTGAGCTTGGGCAAGTTACTGAACCACTCTGAGCTCTGTTTTCTGTCTATATAATGGAGATGATAATAGTACCCCCCTCCTAAGGTGGCTGGGAGGATTAAATAATGGAAATACAGTGTCTAGCACAGGACTGTCTTGTCTCCCGGCTCTTAGCCAGCACCTACACCCTGCCAGACTGACTTGCCCAACCCGAGGCTCCAGGCTATTCTAAGATGAAACCCCATCATTCACTGCTCACACTCCTTCAACTGTGTCCTCAGGGCCTTCCCCATTCAGCCCTGATACCAACATCCACCTTCTTTCTCCTTCGGGTTGGCCCCCTCCTGGCTCTTCCAGTACACTCTTCTGACATCTGTTGTTTTTGTCAGCTCAGCATCCCTTTTTCTGCTGGGTAAGTGACTCTTCCCCACCCCTTCCCCATCATCTTCCATCCACAGTTCTGGAAGAACTGTGACCCCCAGTCCATACGGTGGTAGGAGACAGGATGTGGGCATGTGACCCAGGAAGGCCAAACAAAGGTCCCCATCTCATTGTCGCCAGTGATTGGTCCTAGGTGGTGGGCATGTGACTTGGCAGGGCCAATCAGAGTCATTCTGTGAGAGTACTGTATAGACGCTGAGAGAGAAGGGGCCATTCTTTTGGATCTCAAGTACAAGGAATAGGGTTTAAGGGCAACTGGCAGCCGTCTTCACACTGTGTGGAGAGTGTAGCAGGAGAGAATGAGGCCAGCTGATAAAAAGACACAGAGATAAGCAGCACTGAAAGAGGGAGCGAGAGAGAGTCTTTTTTTTTTTTTTTTAAGTTTATTTTATTTTATTTTATTTATTT